GGCGCAATATAGAAGGAAGAAGAAAAGCATTACGCGCTAATAGAGTTGCGAAGACGGGCCAATGCGCAACTATTATGCTGTTGTTACAACACTCTAGCTCTATTCGATAGGGAAACGCGGAAAGTTGAGAACGAGGAAGACGATGGGCCTACACTCGGCCGATTACGACATTCCGCCGAGTCGCCACCAGGGACTGCAACCTCGTTGCATTCGTTCGGAAAATGCCCAACCGCATTGCTGTCGCGTCAGAATAAGCACAGTAGAGGCAACACGGCGTCACAGCAAGCTGCTCGGGCAGTTTTACAGAAACGGCAGCCATGTCCAAATTTAGCTTTGTATTTGATAATTGGTCCCCAGCCAACACTCGCGTCCACACATGGCGGCTCTTATGTTGTAACCCTTCATCCAGACCAACATCCTGGCCTCCTACGGAGTAACTGGGTAAACGATGGGTTTGTTGGCCGCCTCTGGATGGAGGAGCCACGTTCTAGCACCATGTACAGAGTACGCCTGTATACCGAATGCAACATCACTATCATTATTCACTTGGAGCGACCAGGATTATCTCTTCGGGAGCAGCATGGACGTATAGGTACTTGGTAGTTCCGCAGCATGCAAGAACGCTCTGTACACGGTACCGAGTACTCCCTACTTTGCCCAGGGAGTGCTAGCCGCAGAGTTGCTCTTCACTCGGACTACAGGGCGGCAGGTCAGAAAAATACTTGGCTTGCGTCGAGAAGCCGTTTCCGCGTCTGCCGGTTCAGACGGTCTTCGTCTCAAATGTCACGGGCCACAACTTCATCCTGCAAAGAGACAGCCGCCGTAACTGGACGTATCACATTATGCTGTTGAACTTGCACATGAGACCCGGACCTCTCCTTGAGACCTTTGCCTGGAATGCAAGCACAAGGCGTTTAACAGGGCAGAAACATCCTCTGAAATTACAACCCTCGCCTCTACTCTACTCGACTTTTACCTTGGCGGTGACAAGAAGCCTCACGCACATCACGAAACCCTCCTTCCCGTGTCAGTCGTTTCTTTGGTCTAATGTTGCATGGAACTGTTTCTAGGTATGTTTATGACACCCAATAGGAACCCTGGCTTTCTGAGCCTCATGAGGCTATCGTGCTGTCTAGATCTCGAGGTTCCTGTACAAGAAAGCTGACGATATATGCAAATTCGACCCTGACTAGGGCAAATCACCAGCCATCTGCCCTTTGCCTCGTATTACTGCAAGCGGTACGCGAAGACATTCCCACGATCTGATCTAGACTGATCGGTTGTCTCAAACAGATGTTGGCAGATCGTTCACAAATCGGTACTCTGCTCGAAGATATTACTGTGGGCATTGTGCAGCAAAGTGACAAAACTGGCGACCAAAGTGCGAATTATTCCTCGTCCACAGCACGCATCACATTTTTTTTCATCCCCCACGACTTCTGGGAGTTTGCCCTCAACATGCAAGACCTATCTAGATGTAACGGGGTAGACTGTTCAGAAAAGTCAGGTGCCACCAAACACATTCCCAACCTTCATTTTATTTGATGCCTAGAGCATTGCCTTGCAACAGCCTCCCTTGCCTTTTGTTCCCTCTCAGGACCCCTACAAAGGGTTCTGTCTAGCGGCATAGGGAACTGTTGTTTGTGTCACTTTGTGATACAGACATGCTTCCGAGGTGGTTCAAATGTCCTGAGAGACGTGGACTCCATCTCAGGGTCCTTGAAGTATTTGTAATTACAATCAGTCTGCCAGCACTTTTAGAGACAGGTTATGCGTTTGAGCCGAGAATTCTCAATGCTCTTCCCGCCATACTTATTTACGTTACACACAACACCCAGCATACCTCGCGAACGACAGTCTCCCCTTTTTCGGAAATGTTACCGACCCCACGGTGCTGTTGTTCCATCTGTACAATCTGGATTCGTCCAATAGTTCGGATCAATGCTGAGTTGTGTCCTGAGACTGGTACGACGGGTTTGTCGGCCAATTGCCAGAGGAACATGACAGGTGGACATGTAATGCTATACTGTGACTACGTACATACACATAGTTCGCCATGAAGAAGGGAAAAGCAAAGTACCGAAACACGGGAAAGTTTGCAACGTTCAATGATGCCATCTGCCCCTCAACTTGTCTCAGGCCATTGGAACAAAGGTGAGGAACAAACCACAAGTCTGTCTTGCAAGAATGATGTACACTACGGGCATCGGTCGGTCGGTTATACCATCCCAACAGTTTTGCCGCCACAAATTCCGACGTCAAAGGTAGAGACACGCACAAGGGCCAGCACCCCATATACATGTAGCCTGCGCAGGTCGTTTCGTTTTCCGTGGTATGGGGGTGACTGCAACCATTTGTGTCATGGGTTTTTTTTTTTTTTTTTTTTTTTTTCCATAGCGGCGGTGAACCACCCTTGACGAACTTAAAACTGGCTATCACCATAAATTCTATCGTTCTGTCGCCGCGAAAGAGACAGTACTGCCATCCAATAAGTGTTTAAGACCTTGGCGGAAGTACCCCTTGTTCCTGGGACTGCTCTGGTCAATTCATGCAGAGTACAAAGCGCTGCGTACAGCAAAAGTACGTCCTACTTGCATATACATACAGACAAAGGAGCAACTCTTGTTGCTTTTTCAGAGATAGACGACGAGGAGGAGGGCGGTAGAACGTCTAAACTTAACCAGATGACAACCCACAAGCCCACACCGCTCCGGAAGTTTTCCCCACGATCTTTGTTGGTAGTGTTTCTCATGACTGCTGTCATGTAACGATTCTGCATTCAGACTCCATCAAATGTTGCAATCACACGCCGCCTTACCAGCAGCCTTGGAAACCAGCCGAGCAAAAACCCCAACGAAGGACGGTACCCGTCACCTGCAGATTTTATCGTCTAGTAACAACTACCCCGGCATAAAGACCAGACAGACATCCGATAGGGTCTCACTTCTCAAAACTACGATGTTATTGTTCCCGTCCCAACCATACAAGACCATTGAAACTATTCAAGTTTTCGTTTCCGCCCGCGTGAAATACAATGCCAGCGTATGCAAATCCCGGCAAAAAAAGGCCGTGTCCGGCTTCGCTAGGCCGGGCTTGTGCTACGAATATAAAGAGCAGTATGGGGTAATACATGCCTAGGATCTCTCGATTTGTGCCGGGTACCGTATTGCTAGCTCGCTTGTTTGATGCCAAGATTAGTTAGTTATCTTGCCATATGCTTTGTCCTACTTCGTACAGTCGGGAAGCAAATACTAATCCCAGCCGACGTATCCATCTCGCTTCCCCAATTTTCAATGCAGTAGGTAGTCACGAGTACCCTCGATAATTATAGCAACGTTTCTTTTCTTTTGCATCTGGTTCTCTCTCTCTCTCTCTGGTTTTTTTTTTTTTTTTTCCCCTCGACGTGACCCTGGAAAAAGGAAGGAAAAACAGCCAAGCCGCTGGGGAAAAAGAAACAATTCCAACATACATAAAAAACACCCCCCTACCGCATTTGATCCAATGACACCTAAATAACGGCCAATCCCCCCAACCCAGCGCGTAGTGAGTCCCTTATTATTTCTTTGTCTCTGATGTGCATCCCGTTATGGAGAATGGGGCACGTATTCTTGTGGTGGGTTGACAGCGTCAATTTCCCAGCCGCCCTAGCGGTTATTGCCAATATAGCGTTGAGAGAGCGCGGGTCCCGCTTGCGACTATTGGCTGTCGGTTTGGTGGCTTTTTTCG